AACACCATCGCAGGTTGGTTGCACATGTGTGCGTGTATGCGTGTGTGTGCGTGTGTGTGCGTGCATGCGTGTACGTGCGTGCGTGCATTTATGCGTGTGTATGCGTGTGTGTGTGTGCGTGTTACTGACCTGGTGCATTTCCTGTTGTCTCACCTCCTTACATTACTTTTTTCTTACCTCAACAGGCCGCAGCTACAACGACCTCAACCAGTACCCCGTCATGCCCATCGTGCTCGCCGACTACACCTCCGACCGCCTCGACCTGGATGACCCGGCCTCCTTTCGCGACCTCTCTAAACCCGTCGGCGCCATCAACGCCGCTGCTGCTGAGCGGTCGCGTATGGCGTTCGACACGTACGAGGACCCACAGGGTCTCATGCCTGCGTTCCACTACGGTACACACTACTCCAACCCCGGCGCTGTGCTGCACTACCTCCTGCGCCTGGAGCCATACACATCCCTCCACATCCACCTGCAGGTCAGCAGCGTGTATGTCTGTGTGTGTGCGTGTCTGTGTCTGTGTATTCTGTGTGTGTGTGTGTCTGTGTGTGTGTGTGTCTGTGTGTGTGCGTGTGTGTGTCTGTGTGTCTGTGTGCATGTCTGTGTGTCTGTGAAGAGAGGTTGAATGCCCGTGCATTGCTGCTGGTGATAAGATAAGCTCATCGTGTGGCTGCTCACCCCCTTCGTACTTCGCATCTCTCAGGGCGGCAAGTTCGATTACGCCAATCGCCAGTTCCACAGTATGGGTGCGTTGTCATCTGCGCGTCGATGCTGTTGTCCGTGATGTTTGGGCATCCTGACAAGCAATATGTCAACACTGTATCCGCATCTACACCCATCAAACTTCCTGCTCTCACCAATACATACATTATTTGCCATGTGCGTGTTCGTGTGTGTGTGTGTAATTGTGCCAGCTGTAATGTGGGACGGCATTGCCAAAGGTCTTGGAGACGTGAAGGAGTTGATCCCAGAGTTCTTTTTCCTGCCAGAATTCCTCGTCAACAGCTCAAACTTCGACCTTGGTGAGTGCGCGCTTTTTGTTTTGTTGGAGGTGTGTGTGTGCTCAATGACGCTGTGATTGCAACTGTGCTGCCAACGAAAGTATGTTGCTCACTCACACACAACCATCAACACACACGCACATGCACACACACGCACGCACACATCAACACACACACGCACACATCAACACACACGCGCATTCATGCGCACGTAGGTTGCCTGCAGTCTGGGGAGCGGCTGAACGATGTGGTGCTGCCGCCGTGGGCCCGCGATCCACACGATTTCATCATGAAGCACCGACAGGCGCTGGAGTCCGATTACGTGTCGGCGCACTTGCACGAGTGGATTGACCTCATCTTCGGGTACAAGCAGCGCGGGCCGGAGGCGGCCAAGGCACTCAACGTATTCTACTACACGGCCTACGAGGACGCGCTGGACATTGCGAAACACCTGTCGGAACAGGAGCGGATTGCGCAAGAAGGGATGATCCGCGAGTTTGGGCAGGTGCCCTCGCAACTGTTCACAAAGCCCCACCCACAGCGGCTGACGGCAGACGAAGCAGCGCGCCAACGCCCAAGTGACGGTATCTTTGCTGCCTGCTCGATCCTCGAGGCATTTGATGACATCAAGACATTTATCATGTCGGCAGCGGTGGAGCACCCCATCACCGCCCTCTTCCTCCCAGCAATCACACGCACACGCACACGCGTGCGAGGTGAGGAATGAGAGAGTGTGTGAGTGTGTGTGTGTGTGTGCGTGCGTGTGTGCTTGCAGAAGGGTCAGGGAGTGAGAGGTGTGGGTGCTGTTTGTACTCGCTGTTGCTGTATCATGAAGACTCATGTCACCTCCGGCCACGCATCATCAACACCAGATGTGGCGCGGTGTTTGCTGGCGCTCAACACGGGCGGGCACGTCGGCTGCCACGAGTGGAGCCCGGGTTCGCGTGACGGAACAAAACCCTTCAGCGTCGGTGGGTTTGGGGTTGAAGTGTGGTGGGTGGATGTGCGGTAAATGGATGAGTGTATGCGTTTAAGGCTACGTCTGGGTCGGTTAATGACACGCGCTCGTGCTTCATTTATGACCCACACTCACACACACACACACACACACACACACACACACACACACACACACACACACACACACACACACACACACACACACACACACACATAAACATACACACATACAACCCAGTGCGAGACGCCACGCCGCCCCGATCGCAGCTGCTGGGGTCGCGCTATCTACTGGAGCCGGCACACGTGCTCTCCTGCCGAAACGTCGTCGCCACACGCGAGTGCGACTTCATGTTCACGGGCGGATTCTGCGACAACAGCATCCGCGTCTTCGACACGGCCACGCGGAAGTGTGTTGGCCTGGGCACCGCCCACCGCGGGCCTGTGACGTGCCTGGCCATGGATGTTGGTGGCAGTATGCTGCTGAGCGGTTCGCGTGACCGCACGTGCGTGCTGTGGGACATTGTGCAGTGGGAGGCGACAAGCGGGCGCATGCAGCCCCATCTCGTGCAGCGGCACATCTACTTTGGTCACAGCATGGACGTGTCTGCGGTGGCTGTCAGTGCGGAATTTGACCTGGTGGTGAGCGCATCGCTGGACGGAACGGTGAACCTGCACACTGTGCGCAAGGCCATGTACATCAAGACGCTCACACTTGACGCAGCGCTGCCCGCTGAACTCGGCACGCCAACAACGGCAACGTCGATGCAAGAGAACGGTCACGCCGCAACAGCAGAGGACGGCGATCAGGGCAATGGTGGTGGTGGTGGTGGCGGTGAAGGCGAAACGTTCACGTCGCCAATGTCCCCCGAAACCGCTCCCTTCGGCGACCACCACAACAACGAGGGTGGCGACAACAACAATGGGACGAGTGGTGCTGGGGGTGCGGTGTCGCTGCTGCGGCAACACGGCCACGCTGCGCCGCGCATCTTCGCCACGGCGGTGAGCTGCGATGGGCGCGTTGCCGTCGGCTGCGCCTTCAGCCTGGAGGTGAACAGGAAGCGGCGGCGGTACTCCATTGCGCTGTACAGCTGCAACGGCGAGCTGCTTGCCGTCACCACAGAGATGCAGCACATTGCGGCCATGGCGTGGATGGTGGACGGCTCCCATCTCCTCGTCGGCGGACGCGGCGCTGAAGTCCTCTTCCTCGACGCCCTCACGTGCGGTTTGGGAGGGCGGTGGAGGTGTCTGCGTGTGTGTGTGTGTCTGCGTGTGTGTGTGTGTCTGTGTGTGTGTCTGTGTGTGTGTCTGTGTGTGTGTCTGTGTGTGTGTGTGTTTGTCTTGTGTGTGTGTGTGCCTGTGTGTGTGTGCAGCCTATTCCTGAAACTCACCACCTGCTTGCTTGTTTTGGCTGGTTGTAGGTTGGAGCGCAAGCAGCGGCTGTCGATTGGTGCGCCCGTGACGGCGCTCACGATATCCCCAGATGACCGCTTTCTTGTTGTGGGTCTCAAGGATGGACGCATTGTTGTCGCCACGGTGAGGATGGCCGTGCGTTCTCGTTGTGTGCTTTGGTGACAGCAACTGTTTGGAGGTTCGCTTACCCTTCACTCACTCACTCACTCACTCACTCACTCACTCACTCACTCACTCACTCACTCACTCACTCACTCACTCACTCACTCACTCATTCGCACTCACTCACTCATTCACTCACTCACTCGCACCAGCCCGTTGTGCGGGAGGAGCTGAGGGCGACGCGCGCGTCGTCGATTGGGGCGAAACCGGCGCTGCGGCTCATCTCTCGCACACTCAACACGGCCAAGACAGCAGCGGCAGGGCTGAAGAAGAAAAACAAGCACAAGAAAGGAAGAGGGCAACGAGGGAAGAGAGGGTCGCAGGAAAGGGAAAGTGGTGTGGAAGCTGTGCAGGAGGAAGAAGAAGGAGTGGAGGAGGAGGAGGAAGAGGACTTAGTGGAGTTTGAAGAGGATGAGGAGGAGGAGGAAGTGGATGGAGAAGAAGAGGAAGAGGAAGTAAGTGGTGGTGTAGGTGTTCGAGATATCGTGGTGGTGGAGTCGAGGGGAAAAGGAAGCGAAGGCGAAGAGCAGCGTGAGCACCATGTGCCGGCATCAGACGTGTGAGGACAGAGAGGGAGGGAGAGGGAGGTGGTAGAGAGGGAGGTAGATCGTTGGTTGTCTGTAATGGAATGGAAGTAAAACTCAGTCGAGTCACAGCACGGCATGGCAAGCAAGCGAGGGGAAAGGGTGATGATGTGAGTTTGGTTTGCTGGGGAGAAGGGCAAAATTGCCGAGGGGTGGAAAGTCAGAATTGATGTTGGCTTTGCTTGGTGAAAATTCGCAGGAAAACACACCACAAACTTCCTCCAGCCAAACAAAACAAAACAAAGCACACAGTCACCCTAACACCACCAGAACCACAACACCCCAGCCACTGTCCGAACGCACTGAAACAGTGAAACGACTCAACCAACGACTCAACGAGGCTTGACACACACACACACACACACACACACACACACACACACACACACACACACACACACACACACACACACACGCACAAGCTGCCTTTGCCTTCTTGCAACTTTCTTTTGTTTGTGAGTGAAAACAGCTGTGGCTGAACAGGACAACAAGAACAACAGGACAGAAGCATCACACTCTCGCAGGCTTGCCTTCTGCCTTTGCCTGCAGGCAACAGCACACAGCCACACTCTTGCACAAAAAGTGGTGCAAGCACACACTCAAGACACCTGAAGGAGCATTCATCGACAACAACAAGTCATGACCTCCCAGGAGCTGGAAACCAAGCTGGCGGCGATGGACTGGCTTCACCAGGGGTACAAGAATGAGCTGCGATCCATCGCCAACAACACATGTGGACCAACCTTCAAGTGAGTCCTGCAGAAGATTTGAAGGGATAGCTGCTTGGTCGCTTGCAAACGTTGCTGGGGTAGCAATTGGAAGGGGGAGCACACATGCTGTCACGGGTGGTAGTTGCATTCGTGTTTTGTCGCTTGCTCACGACTTGTTCCATGTTCATTCGATCGCACACGCTGTTTCAACCATCTGCTCGGATCACAGAGCGTAAGTCATAGCTGTTGAACTTGAGTGAGCATGCATGTGCTGTAGCAACGAAGTGTGAAGACGCGTTAACGTTGTGGTGATGGTGAACAGTAATGTAATGCGACGCTCATGAGACAGTGTTGCTGTGTCCGCTCAACTGAATTGACGACTTGCGCAAATGAGGTTATGAGGTTCACAAGAAGAATCAAGTCTCGCGCTCACCGCCTCCTCTTGAACATTTCATTGACGACTGTGTGCCACACGTTGCATGTGCGCGATCATGGAACACGGTGCCGTGGACACATATGAAACCCGAACGACTCGTGCGCGCGCGTTGGGTGTGGAACGCGACATGACACAACATGACGTTGCGGCTGAATGCGCAACTACAACTTTGTTGCTGCGTGGAACGTGTGACTGAACAGCCCGTACGTTGACTCGCAGCCTGCATGTTGATGTTTGTATTGTGCTTGTCTGTTGTGTCCGTTGTGCATGGTATCGTGCTGAGGAAGGTGATGGGAGTGTGTGGTGTGTGTTTGTGATGTTTGGTGTTGTTGTTGTGGTTGAGCGTGGTTTGTTTGCGCAATTGAGTGCTTGGGTGCATGTGTTGAGGACTCTGTTGGTGACAAGTGTTGTGAGTTTGCGTTGGGTGACGGATGCTTGTAGCTGACCCGCTCACATACTCATATGCCTCACGCGCTCACACGAGAGTGTACTGTACTATTGTGGATGATGATGATGATGATGCGCTGCATACGTTTGGTTTGTGTTGCTTTTTGTGTTTTGTTGCTGTTGGGAACCACCATTTGACATGACGTGGCATGACATGGCATGGCATGACGTTGCGGCTGAATGCGCAACTACAACTTTGTTGCTGCGTGGAACGTGTGACTGAAAAGCCTGTACGTTGACTCGCAGCCTGCACATGCGTTGATGTTTGTGTTGATGTCTGTGTTGTGCTTGTCTGTTGTGTCCGTTGTGCATGGTATCGTGCTGAGGAAGGTGATGGGAGTGTGTGGTGTGTGTTTGTGATGGTTGGTGTTGTTGTTGTTGTTGTGGTTGAGCGAGGTTTGTTTGCGCAATTGAGTGCTTGGGTGCATGTGTTGTGGACTCTGTTGGTGACAAGTGTTGTGAGTTTGCGTTGGGTGACGGAGGCTTGTAGCTGACCCGCTCACACACTCATATACTCACGCGCTCACACGAGAGTGTACTGTACTATTGTGGATGATGATGATGATGATGGTGCGCTGCATACGTTTGGTTTGTGTTGCTTTTTGTGTTTTGTTGCTCTTGGGAACCACCATTTGACATGATATGACATGACACGACGTGACTTGTTCTTGGTATGACTTTGCGTCTGAATGCGCAACTACAACTTTGTTGCTGCGTGCATCGTGTGACTGTACAGCGAGTACGTTGACTCACAGCCTGCACATGCGTTGATGTGTGTGTGTTGGTGTTTGTGTTGTGATTGTCCGTTGTGATTGTTGTGCATGGTGTTGTGCTGAGGAAGGTGATGAGAGTGTGTGGTATGTGTTTGTGATGGTTTGTGTTGTTGTTGTTGTTGTGGTTGAGCGTGGTTTGTTTGCGCAATTGAGTGCTTGGGTGCATGTGTTGTGGACTCTGTTGGGTGACAAGTGTTGTGAGTTTGCGTTGGGTGACGGAGGCTTGTAGCTGACCCGCTCACACACTCATATGCCTCACGCGCTCACACGAGAGTGTACTGTACTATTGTGGATGATGATGATGATGGTGCGCTGCATACGTTTGGTTTGTGTTGCTTTTTGTGTTTTGTTGCTCTTGGGAACCACCATTTGACATGACATGACATGACACGACATGACATGGCATGGCATGACGTTGCGGCTGAATGCGCAACTACAACTTTGTTGCGGGGAACGTGGGGCTGAACAGCGCTTACGTTGACTCGCAGCCTGCACATGCGTTGATGTGTGTGTGTTGGTGTTTGTGTTGTGATTGTCCGTTGTGATTGTGTGTTGTGCTGAGGAAGGTGATGGGAGTGTGTGGTATGTGTTTGTGTTGGTTGGTGTTGTTGTTGTGGTTGAGCGTGGTTTGTTTGCGCAATTGAGTGCTTGGGTGCATGTGTTGTGGTCTCTGTTGGGTGACAAGTGTTGTGAGTTTGCGTTGGGTGACGGATGCTTGTAGCTGACCCGCTCACACACTCATATACTCACGCGCTCACACGAGAGTGTACTGTACTATTGTGGATGATGATGATGATGATGCGCTGCATACGTTTGGTTTGTGTTGCTTTTTGTGTTTTGTTGCTGTTGGGAACCACCATTTGACATGACATGACATGACACGACATGACGTGGCATGGCATGACGTTGCGGCTGAATGCGCAACTACAACTTTGTTGCTGCGTGGAACGTGTGACTGAAAAGCCTGTACGTTGACTCGCAGCCTGCACATGCGTTGATGTGTGTGTGTTGGATGTT